TGCCTCTAGAAATTGTTGGGGAAGCCAAGCCAAACTTATATAAATATTAACTATACATCTTTTTATTTTTAATAGTTAAAATTTATTATAATTTTTTAAATAAAAAAATAATTATCTTTAATAAATACTATCAACAACTAAACAAGCCTTTAGACCGCACCAAATATAACCTTAGGCGTGTTTGGTAATTTGCCTCTAGAAATTGTTGGGGAAGCCAAGCCAAAATTTTGTGTGGTTCAAACCTAGAAATTACACTTCCTTCCTTGAGATCATGGGAAGAAAAGTTTCCCTAGTTCATAATTGGTTTTTTTTTTTCTTTTCTTTTTGATTAAATGTTAATTTTAGTCTCCAATTTTTTAATTTAGAATTTTTTTGTCCTTAAATTATTTTAACACCTTTTTGATCCCTGAATTCTACAAATTATACTCTTTTTTTTTTGTCTTCTTTCAATTAAGTGATGACATAGATGTTAACTCAATCCAAAATAACACTTTTTTGATGATATAGTAATGGCATATCATTAAATTAGCTTATGTGGACTCATGGTGCCCAAAAATATGTCTAGTGGAGAAGAATTTTGAGAAGAAAGAAAAAGATTTTAGAAGTATTTTTAATATTTTATAAGTTTTAATATTTTAATTTATAAGTAAATTTAATTGGTGGATAGTTTTTATTTTTTAATTTATTAATTTTTTCTTTTAAATTAAATTATCAACATGGATGTCAATACTTTATCTAAGATAAAAGACCCGTTTATAATAGATATGTCATTAAAAATTAAGAAAAATAAATTTTTAAATGAGTTAACTGCAATTGGGTTAGATCATTACTTAAGTGATGGAATAACAAAAGGTGTAATCTTGAAAGTTGAAAAACTAAGAAAGTAAGAAAATAGTTTAGGGATCAAAAGTGTTTAAAATAAAAAGTTTAAGTACTGAAATTGACATCTATTTTTTTAAAAATGAAACTTGGTCATAACCAATTAACTCTCCAAATAACAAGTTACTATAATTTTTATTTCATGTGTTATGGTTGGTTATTTATGTTAGTTACAATAGTAACGCAAGTTTTAGGCGGAAAGTTTAATATATGGGCTTGCTATTACTATACTTTTGTTTAATATGTTATGGTTGGTTCTTTATGTTGGTTACAATAGTAAATCAATTTCTGTCCACAAAGTTTAGTATGGGCCCGCATACTGTCTAAAAGCAAATTTCAAAAAAAATTACCAAACCAGACGCACCAAAAGAATAAAGTAATAGATGCTTAACAAGAGGCGGCTGGCTTGATTTGCCACGTAAGATTATTTTTAAAGGGAGATGATTTTGAGATAATTTTTTATATTATTTTTTTATATAATTTAACTTGTTATTTAAATAATTAATTTTTTTAATTTATATAGAACTTATGATATTGAATGCATCAATTTCTTTAATGACATGTGAAAGTTGTATCAAAATATAATATGAAAAAGTTGTTCATATAGCACTGCTCATTTTTAAAAGGGGTGGTGTTATATAAACAATATTTTTATACTATCTTTTGATATAATTTTGACATGTCATTGAATAAGTTGATACATTTAATATCATTAGTCCCACATAAATAAAAAGAACCAATCATTTAAATAACACATCAAGTTGTACCAAAAGGTGGTACAAAAATATTATCCCAAATCATTTTCATTTTAAGAGATGTTTTGAAAATTTAGAAAAGTAAGTTGTTTTTAAGTTAATTTTTTATAAATTAAAAATTTATTAAAAATATCTTAGAAATTAACTTTTTAAAGTTATTTTTAA